AAACGATTGAACCACTTTAGACAACACCAATATATTAAACAGCAATTTGCTGTCATCACGCCATGTGCCAGCAAACCGCCAATTGGCGTCAAACAATATAAAAGCACAATTATAAATTATTAATCCTCGTATTTATAATCAAACCATATTCATCTAAAAAACATTAATGTTTATACCATTCAAAGAAGTTTGACATGCCTGGGCTAGATCGAGAACTTTCTATTCGTTCAAGTGTGTCAGCCACACGAGTAAGATAATTTTTAACGGCCTTCAATTCCTCCTCCATGATGAATTTAACATGATTATAAAAGAATCAAAGATTCCAAGAATTTATATATGACGTAATTATGACAAGTTTGTATTAGGTAATTTTGGCGGCTTTTGTACAAGCGGCGGCAAATGGCAATTTTCAACTTGACAAATGGCAATTTTCAACTTGACAAATGGCAATTTTCAACTTGATAAATGGCAATTTTCAACTTGACAAATTGCAACTTCGAACTTGACAGATCGCAACTTTCAACTGTGCAAATCGCAACTTTCAGTATAGCAAATCGCAACTTTTGATATTAGATTTTTTCCACCAAGTTCATTGTTGCATGCAGGAAGGTCGTTAAATATTTGTGTGGTAAACAATTGTCAAAAGCCGTATGAAAAATTATGGGCAAAATTAAATGTTGATTCCCCATGTTAAAAGTCGAATTGCAATATTGATTTTTGGCGGTGATGGAACGCCATATATATAGGGGCAATGGAAACACGTGGAATGTTCCATTATACTTATAGTTTTTTAAATCAATCAACTAAATCCATCAACTGAATCAAGGAAAGAATAATCGGTCTTTCTGAATTCTGATTTCTGGTATATTTTTGAAATATACAAGTTCGTGACATTTATATGAATCTGGTCAGACTGAATAAATGTGGTATAACATTCAAAAACAAAGCTCTCTCAGCGTGTCAGGAAAAGAACATTACGACTATATTTACAAAAAGGGTATTACTAGCTGTGGTAGTTTCTTTCATCTGAGATAAGTTAGTCAGAAAGAAATTGTTTACTTTTAGCGCCTCTCAAGAATATGTTAATTAGCTATAAATTATGCAAAAATCATTGATTATGGGCTCCAGAAATTCTTAACTCGCGCCAAATACAGATTGATACCCGCAGGTTTTTCTTCAGATCTTCCGAAAATAAGTATAAATCATTACAGCCAAGCACATTTCAGCGTAATTTTAGGTCCCCATTTGGAGATCTCAGGCTTCGATTTTAGTGTAATTTTGTAGACCGAACAAGAAGCAAAAACCGGTGTGCCGTCAAGTCGCTGTCGTTTATTCACAATGTATTCAAATGCTCTTATTTTTTGGAACAGGGAACCAGAATTGTATCTTAACTTGTTGATCTAGTTGAAATTTGGAAATAGTCAGGCGTTTTGACACAGCGCGGCTCTACAATTTACCGAAATTCAACCTTCGATTTTGCTTGAAATTAGCTCTGCACGGGTAAAATGAGTTTCGGCGTCTAGCGAAGCCATAAAAAAGAATTTTCAAAAAATAAATTTATTTTGGACACTTGTATACCAATGCCTTTCAACACACAAAAAATAAAGGAAATCTATTTTCCGAAGTCAAAGTCATCGGACCGCTCTTAGCGGGACTGCCACTTAAAGCCTTGGCCGAACGTAAGAAACAATGTCGCGGAAATATTCGTGATTTTTAATTGGCTTTTATTGCAGACGCAAAATTTGCTTCCCAGAAAGCAAATTATTTCCTAGCAAATTCAGATTTCAGAAGCATTTTATGAAACACTCTTTATCCGTTTGCCGACGCTGATAAGACAATATGACATACCGAAAGATTGGAAAGACAAATAATATGACAACAGTGTTTCCCAGTTCGTCCCGGGCTTTAAGGGATATTTATATAAACTCGAAATTCATCATAAAAAAGATAAATTGGGAGGAAATATAAAATCCATAATTTCATTATAGCCATCTATAATTGAAAGAAATGTTTTCAACTTTGAACCCACTAAAATACCTAAAAATTTGAAAGCAATAAAATCCTACTTATTGGATCCTGGCCAAGGGCTTGCATGCTCAAAACGAGATTGCATGTATTCTGCAATAAGCTGTCCTGGCTTTTGTATGGTAAAGTTCTACTTCTCGTATTTGAACTATTTCATGTATTATATTTATATTGTGACATAAGTTGGTATTTAGCCACTATCTAGAATAACAAGGAACGATTCAGCCTGGTTTTTCGTGTTAATTATTTTATTTACATACTGTTAACCCTGTCCATGAGAGGGATATATGTGTTGATAATATAAATACTGTGGATCCGAATGAGAATATCGAATAAGTAAATAAATACTGATCTACTCCACTGATAATACCTACATGCATTACCATCATTGTTCACCTCAAATCATTAATAATTCATGAGCAAATTAGCCAATCATATTGCTTTATTTTGCTCACATGATAATACTAGATACTTTATGAAGTATATTGATCCTGTAGTGTTATGAAGTATATTGATCCTGTAGTGTCCTAGCTAGGACTGGATTAAAATTAATTCAGTCCTTGGACTTGATCAAAATTAATTAATTAGTGATTTATTCGCATGAGATGTCATTTCAAATCCTCCAATTCGGACTGGACTAGATTTCAAGTCCTCACATTTTGATCCAGTCCTCTGCTTCGCCTCGGACGTGATAAAATTGCGTGGACTTGAAATCTAGTCCAGTCCTCATAGTCGGATTTGAAATATTATCCCTTGTCAAATCAGATGCCAATGGTGGCCAAGAAAGATTCAGTTTTGGTATTTCTTGCACTTTTTGGTGAAGAATCAATGCAGCATTGTATAGAATTTGTAACTCATTGACTTTAGAATTTCCCTCAGTTTCTGTGTTGGAATTCACATCATCATCATCAATGGTACAGCTCTCTCTACCAAAGTCCTCATCATTGTTTTCAGACTTAGGGCCTGTTTATATGGAAGCCGGGCTGGCCTGATAAGCAAGACAGCCCGGTAAGCAAGATCTCGCTGTGTAGTTATTCTTATAGTAAAAATTATCATGCGTTTATATGGACAAGTGGGCTGGCCGAGTTGCCGAGATTTCGTTTGAAAGAGGCTACTCAGGCTAGATCTCGCTTACCGGGATGGAAATTTCTCCATATAAACATTTACAAGCGGGCTATCCCGGTTGCTGGGATGAAAGTTCAAAAATACCGCCGCAAGCTATTTTTAACAACTGTCAAAACAATACAATGTAACAAAATTGTCCTGGCAAGCTGGATGAAAGTTTCTCATATAAACACAAGAGAAATTCATCCCGCTTACCGGGCTGCCTCGCTAAGTGGGCCAGCCCGGCTTCCACATAAACAGGCCCTTAATTGACATATGTTCCTCAACCAATTCAGAAGAATCCAAATTTTCCACATATACAATCTCACTAACATTTCTCATTTTCGGTACACAGAACACAAGTTGGGGATAACTTTTCATCAGTCGTTGCTTGAGTTTAAAAGCTCTATATCTAGATGCATCCACATTCTCAGTGTCCTTAGCAATGATAGCAAATTTCTCCAGCAAATTTTTCATACACTTTATTTCCTTATTCCTGATGACCTCCATCTCAATTACTTTCTTACAGAATACATCATAAGACTTCTCGTACAGTGATACTCTCGTTGCTTCTTTGTCTCTCTGGTGAAAAATATTGTATAATTGCAGTAGCAAACTTTGTGATAGCGGATTTCCAGAGCTACACAGTCTTTCCCCTGGATTTGCATGAGTATCTGTTGATCGTTCTTTCTCTCAGCAGCTGTACGTAGAAGACCAGCATCAATTGTTTCTGCCAATAACAAGGTTGGATATTTGTAGCATAGAAACTACTTTACCCTAAATAAACTAAATTGATCACAATTCAATATATTTTAAAACCAAACCTGAGAATGTTGTGCACATTGCGCTAGTATTATACCTATCAAAATACCATACCTTGTCTAGTGAGAACCATGAGCCGTCTCTTCCACAAATAATACATATCACTGGGAGTACATGCGCGTTTCTTTTAGGCAGGGCCTTTATATTTATAGCTTCTGCGACTGATTGACGTGTATTAATTTTTCGCCTTGGTTCTATTGCCTCCACTTCCACGTGTGATTCTTCGGTAGAAGTTATAGTTTTAGAGCTAGTTCTTTCTCCTTTTTCTTCTTTTCTCTGTTATCTACGGATCTTCTCTTCATCACAAAATCTCTTCCAGCATTTCATATGATGGTTCCATTCTAAGTTAATGGTGTCAGAGTTCTAAGTTCTCGATGTATGAATTGACAGATCCGTCATCGATGTTCTCGTACGATTTCTTAGCTATTTCAGCTTGTTGGCATTTAAGTTTGGCCCATTTTGACCTACACTCAAGAAATTGCTTAAGCCTTTGGCGTGTAACTTTGCAAAGTTGCTCCGTAACGCCATCAAAATGCATAAAACATGAGGATATTCTAGTTTTATAAATATCTTCAGCCATGCTTATTTGCACAACTGAGCGTGTTTCCACTTCGAAGCATGTGCGTTGGTTGTGCGCGTGCGCAATGCGAGTTTGGCTGAGTTGCGCATGCGTATTTGCTATCAAAACAATGGCGGTTCGAATATTTCGAAGCGCGAAAATATCAAACTTTGGAGGGACTTTTCTCCCAATTGTGCACCTGTTTCGCTTGGGGAGCAACGGATTCTGATAAAGTAAGTTTTTATCTATTTATTCATGTGAAAATTACGTAGTTCCACGACGGGTGCAACGGAATCCGTTTTCTAAGCATCTTTTGGATGCTCATCCCACGGCCTATTAGTGGATTAGTGCATGTGTATCTCAAACATGGCGAATAAATGCCTAAACAGATTATGCCCCAATATTTACGGTACAGATACTGTATATATTTGTACAGATATTTTATATATAAGTTTATATAATATAACTTAATTTCTTTACACAATTTACAGAAATATTGGCGAATTATAAAATAACAGACGATCATACATATACACAAAAACAAAATGAACTATAAAGATAAAGACGACTGTGCATACGCTTCGGGCGAAAACATGGTAGTTAAAGCAGGAGCTCGGTTGGGTGGTAATGAGGGCTACAGTGTACTCGAGGCAGAAGGTTACGCTGGGATTGAGGATTGGTCAGCTGGAGCAGATGCAAAAATTCAAGTTTTCCATCTGAATCCAAACGATGCCCCTGTAAAAGCCCGGTTTTTCGGGGCTGACGTTGGAGCTAACGCTGGAGTAGATTTTGCAAACAGTTTTTATAAGAAAAACGCTGTTTTGGGGGCTGAAGTAAAAGCAAGGCTAACATTGTCTGATTGTAAAGCTGGACCATTCAATCTCCATCTTGGACTTGGAGTTTCAACTGGATTGGCAATGAAGGACGGAACTGTTGAAGCGAAACTAGCTGGCACGGGATTAATAGTTGGCAAAAAGATTGGTTTTGCTGCATATGATAACGAATTTTCAATTGATACATTAGCTCTTGTTGGAAAAGGATGGTTGTGGTAATTTAATTGAACTGTAAGTATAACAGTGGAATTAATTGCAAAACTGATGATTTGATCTGTTCTATTCACTAAAAAAATTATATGCATTATACAACAAATCCCAGTCTCCCACCCCTATCTGTACTCTCACTACCTAAATTCAGAGCCTATCTATTATTATTAAATATATTTAATAATAATATATTTTGTATATAAACTCTTTAAAATGGGTGCAACCAAAGATAGAATATAAACCTAATTTATGCCTTAATTCATTACATTTCATTCATTTGTACGTTCAAACTTCATATACGTTCGAAGTTCAGATACTTTTTACGTTCAGATATATTTAATTATTATATTTAATTTTATAAATATATTTTTATATATTTATATTTATATATATTTACCTATATTTATACGAACTTCCGTACAGATTTCTTGTATTTTGTATGCGTTTTCTTTCTTATTCTTTCAATTTTTGGAAATTTTGTCACTGTGTATATTATCACGGAATAAGGTACTATCAACAAATGCTAGTCGTTGACAGGATAAAAACCTAAGGGGTTGATAAAAGAAACAAGTAATATACCTGCATGGTGACTATCTACATATATTTTTTTTTCTTAGAGTCACGTTGATGCGTCACTACAGTAACCTCAGAAGAAATAAACAATAGCAGCTAACATTTTGATAGTTTCTCTCTAATCTAATCTAAAGTAAATAATGTAACATCACTAAAGATAACTGTGTCCACAACTTAGCTTCAATAGGACGACGCTTAGATATTAAAATATTATATAATTATAGTATGTATAATATTTATGAGTTGTTTTTATCACTTATAAGCGGTGCAGATGATGGGATAAAATCATAAAAATGTTTTGAAATCTGTTAGTTTTGGCTTTTGCGGAAACGAAGATTCTTAAATGCCTTAGATTACAACTTGGAAAGTATCTTGGCGGTGTAAGATTTTGAAGGTTAAGCTCAGATGTTGTAGCAATTTCCTTTAAGATTTTCTTGCATGCTTTTGATGGTTAAATTGATGCCACTTCTATTTAAACCATGTCTGCGTAAGTTGTGTTTGGGTAGATAATTGATAGGTCACGCCTCTCTGCCTGTACGTTCTAGGGAATTTGACAGATAAGATGGCGGAACAAAATGGCCGGAAAACTTGACAGCTAAACACCAGAAACTCCACTTAGATGTGTAGCTGGCAAGGCGCCTTTTGCGTTTTTCCGTGTCAAAAATATCTACGAGGCTGAGCCAACACTCATTTGATTTAGTAACAACTTTTTATTGTCAATATAAACGAAATATAAACTTAAAATATCACAAAATACAGTCTCAAAAGGTAAAAACTCGGTGGCCTCGCGGCCGCCATGCCAGAACGATGCCTGCGCATGCGCCACTCAACACAGGAGCCCTAGAGCAGTAACATGGCTCCCCAAAAATGTTCAACTACAATAACATTTTTTATCAACATAATATGAACTACAACAATCAATAACATTCATGCTACTCGCCATGATTTCATCGTCCTTAGCCTATGAGAGCGTTCAATTGTTCAATATAAATGTCTGTACCGAACGTTCAGGCTCCTCGTTGGGGAATCCCGGTCTATTCTGACTCTAAGAGCAGAACAAGCTTATTAATGGGTCTTTCGAGCATAGATCCATTCGGCGTCAGTACCGTAACCGATCTAACTTGGCCTTGATCATCTGGATGAGCACGCACAACCTTAGCCAGGGGCCACTTATTTCTTGGATATTGAACTTCTCGCAGCAAGACAACATCTCCCGTCGTAAAATTTCTCTTTGGTTGCGTCCACTTGGATCTCGATTGCAGTTGCTGCAAGTATTCCTTGCTCCATCTCTGCCAAAACTCTTGCACTAAATGCTGCGTTCTTCTCCATTTTTTCTTGCAATACATGTCTTCTCCCTTGAATTCTCCCGGCGGGGGCAATACAAGCTTCGTCTTCCCTGTAAGAAGCATGCTTGGGGATAATGGTGGTTCAGAAAGGGGATCGTTGAGGGTTTCTACTGTCAAAGGTCTGCTATTAACTGTGGCTTCTGCTTCACATAAGAATGTTCTCAAGATTTCTTCGTCCATTTGAGTCCCGTGTTCCTTCATAAGCGCATTCATGACGTTCCTGATTGACCGAATTTGTCTTTCCCACACGCCTCCAAAGTTGCTCGCGGAGGCTGGATTCTTAATCCAATCGATATTGTCTTTCAGTAGCTCTGTCTTTACCTTTTCGTCATCAATCTCCTCGATTGCTCTTTTGAGCTCGTTTTCTGTACCGATAAAGTTCGTTCCTCTGTCACAGCGAATTTCTCGGACTGGGCCTCTTCTACAAATAAACCTTCTTAGCGCTTGGATAAACGAATCCGTCTCCATAGTGTCAGCGACTTCAATATGGATTGCACGACTTGCTAAACAGGTGAATAATGCTCCGTATCTCTTTACCATTGATCTTCCTCGCTTTACATACCAAGGCCCGAAATAATCCACCGCGCAATACGTGAAGGGCGGCGCGGGTTCTACGCGTTGCCATGGCAAATCAGCCATCTTCTGCTCACCCGTTTTGCCTCTGAGGTAACGACACTTGACGCACCTTGAAATGAACCGTCTTACCATGCCATTTCCGCCGATGATCCAGTACCCACTGCAGCGAAGTTCATTGAGCGTGATTCCTCTACCGCTGTGATGTGTCTTGTTGTGGACATGACTGATTATAAGTGACGTAATATAATGTGGCTTGACTTTGGTAAGATGACTGGATTCTTGAGAGATTCTGAAAAACTTGCTCTCCTTATTCTCCCTCCAACTCTGAGAACTCCCTGCTCGTCTACGAACGGGTCCAAGGTGTAAAGAGAACTCGTTCTCCTCAATACTCCCTTTTTATTCTTGTCCGATTCTCGTGTACCGTAGTTCGGTTTGCCTTGAAGTCCTCGAAGGGTCTCCAACTCAGTAGGAAATGCAACGTTCTGAATCTGTTTAATGATTTCTCTTTCAGCTTCTTCTAGATCCTCTACACAAAGGTCTACCGCGACGTTGGTGTTGCTATTGTCGGTGCTTTTCTTCTTGTATGACTCGTCTCCTTGGGATGATTTCTTGCAATTCACCCTGTCCTTGAGGATCTTCTTGTACTTCAAACAATAGGCAACCGCACCCCTTACTTTATGCCAGCTGGAGAATCTTTCTAATCTGTCGAGAATGCCACAGTTTCCTTTCTTTACTTCCTGTGAATTTACTCTCATGTTCTTTACTTCCGGTAGAGTTCGATCAAGAATATCACCCGATTCTTCAACGTTTGACCACCTTTCTTCAGGCTCGCGCAGGAATTCTGGACCTTCGATCCACTTTGACTTCTCGACAAACTCTTTCGCTGACATTCCTCTCGAGGCTTCATCTGCTGGATTTGACGATGTTTTCACATAGTGCCATTGTGAAGGATCTGAATGATCATGAATTATTTGGACTCGATTTGCCACATAGGTATGGAATCTCCTAGACTCGTTACCGATGAATCCGAGAACAACCTTGCTGTCTGTCCAGTAATGATCCTCGATCTTCTCGTACTCTAACTCTTTCTTGATTGTATTGGCAACCTTTACGGATGTTGCAGCAGCAGCAAGCTCCAATCTTGGTATGCTTACAGATTTTCTTGGCGTCACTCGAGCTTTACCCATGACGAAGGAAGTGTGCACCTTGCCGTTCTCATCGTTCAATCTTAAATAGGAGCATTGTCCATATCCAGTTGTTGAAGCATCGGACATACTATGGAGTTGAACAGATGTGACCTTCCCCAGATCCTTCGGCTTGAAACTTCTAGGTATATCTAACCTTTCGAGCAGATAAAGTTCACTACGCCATTTCTCCCATTTACTCTTTGTGGCGTCGTCAACTGGTTCGTCCCAACTATTTGCTTGGCAGATGTCTTGTAGTATCTTCTTACCAACGAGCACGACTGGCGCAATGAATCCCAAAGGGTCGTAAATGGAGCTTATAGTAGAGAGAATCCCTCTGCGAGTACATGGGTTGTCCTTCAGCAGGATCCTGAATTTGAAGACGTCAGACTCTACGCACCAGTGTATTCCTAACGCTCTTTCTATCGGAAGCTTATCTTGGCCCAATGATAGATTCTTGACGTTCTCGGCCTGGTACTCTTTAGGGATTGATTTGATAATGCGTTCTGTGTTGCCAACGAATTTAGTCAGTTTGAAACCGCCCTTGGCACATACTTCCTTTACCTTCGTTGAAAGGTCAACAGCTGCATCTTCCGTTGGGGTTGACTTTAGGACATCGTCGACATAGAAATTCTTTCTGAGAGTGTCTGCTACCGTGACGCCATACTCGGCTTCGTTGTCATCAGCAGTACGTCGGAGGGCGTAATTTGCACAAGCAGGTGATGACCCAGCTCCAAACAAATGCACCGTCATACAGTATTCTTCTGGTTTGCTTTCCATGTTTCCATCAGGCCACCACAGGAATCTGAGGAGATTCTGGTCTTCCTTTCTTACTCTAACTTGAAAGAACATTTTCTCAATGTCTGCCATGAACGCAAATTTCTCCTGACGAAACCTCGTCAAAACGCCAATTAAATTACTAGTCAGGTCGGGCCCTTGTAAAAGGTTGTCATTCAAGGACTGTCCGTCATATCTGGCCGAACAATCGAAGACCACGCGCACCTTATCTGGTTTTTGAGTATGATAAACCCCATGATGTGGCAGATACCATGTCCTTCCGTTTGCAGATTCGAGGTTGTTATTCACCTTGCGAGCATATCCCTTCGAGATTATCTCTGACATGAAATCACAGTAGTCCTTGTGGTACCGTTCATCAGACTGCAGGCGCTTCTTCAGACTATTCAGGCGTTTTTCGGCTTGCACATAGTTGTTCGGCAATTTGATATTCTGATCTTTGAGTGGCAGGGACATTTCATAGTGCTGGTCTTCCAAGTGAACAATTCCGTTTTCCACTACATGGTAGAACAGTCTATCTTCGCGTGACATAGCTGTCCCTCTTTCTGTTTCAGAGAAGTCCAATTCAAACATCTGCTTGACTGCCTGTGGTGTGATCTGTTCTTTGGCCATTCTCTGTGATACAACATATCCTTTCGCAGTTGTTGGTGCAATTTCTTTGAGCCGAACATTGTTGCAATGAAGACCTTGGTTCTCTGATGAGCAAATTGGGCCGTTGATGTACCATCCGAGTAGTGAACGAATTGCGTATGGTTCCTCCTCTTGTCCGTAGATGATTTCTCGTGGCCGTAACACGCTGGGACAATTCAAGCCAATCAAGAGTCCGACGTCCACATCTTCCATAAGGGGCGGCATCTTCTTACTTAGTTCGGCCAAATGGGGAAACTTACTTATTGACTGTGGCTGTGGTATTTCACTGCGGTCTGCCGGGATTACTTGTCTCGTATAGGTCCTAGGTAGCTCCACACTAGTATCTTCATTTGTGAAATTAGTTACGACCAACCCATCAACAGCTTCGGTACGAACGTTTTCGGATCCATGCATGGTCGTTAGAATAAGATTTGTTGAACTTCCTTCAATATTGAGCCTTCGCGCCAAGTCTTGTCTTATGAATGTTCCGCCACTGGCGTTGTCTAGCAGGGCATAGACTTTCTCTTTGTTAGTCGGGTCTCCTTTACGAGACACCCATACAGGTATAATTCCCATGCTGACAGGTATATCTCCTGCTTCTGTTACATTACAAATGGCAGTTCGATTGGTGGAAACTTGCGGATCTCCAGGAGATTGATCGTCGTCCTTCTTGCCATCGATCTTCGCCTTGTTCACCCAGTTATCGTCATGCATCGATGTTGGATGATTCTTGCTGCATTTCTTACAAGATTGTCTTTTCTTACAATTTCTAGCAACATGTTGATCACCAAAACAACCGTAGCACAATTTGTTTTCTTTCACAAAGTCCCGTCGATCTTTCAACGGTTTCTTCAAGAACAGCTCACAGTCATTCAAATTGTGAGTCCTTTTACATAGTGGGCATGTTGTGACAGCCTTCTCCATCATCGTTCCAAATCCCCGTACTCTCCTGGTCAGTCTAGGTTTCCCATTGTAGCTATTCTTATCTTCGGCTGATTTGATACTTACACCTTCTTCGGAGAAAACAGGATCATTAGCGAATTCGGCTTGTTCACATACGAATTGACTAAACTCCTCGAAATTTGCCATTCTTCCTTTAGTGACCTTTGTCTTGTTGTTCCTTTCAGTCCACTTACTGCGTAAGTGACGCGGTAGTTTCTCCCACAACTTTCGTAAAACGTGTGCAGTGTTAAGATCTTGCATATGGCACATGCCCTTCATAGCTGAACCTGCCTGCTCTAGGGCAATAGCAAAATCCCGGAGAGCGCTGCCTTCATTAGGTTTAATCTGCGGCCAAGATGATAACTTTGTCACATGTGCGTTGGCTATTTTGAATGGATCGCCGAATTGGCGTTGTAGTAGACGCTTTGCTTCGCCATACGCATCGTCAGTTTTCCTTTGCAAACACCCTTTGATTACATCCTTGGCCTTTCCTACCGTGTATTGGCCAAGAAAGTAAAGCCTTTCTATGGGATCCTTCACCTTTGATTTTATCAGAGACTCAAAGGCAGTCCAAAATGTGGGAAACTCTAGGGCATCTCCAGCAAACATGGGTGGTTTGTGGGCAGGTAGCAGGCTCCTTGCTTGCTGAGAAGCAATTGTTTGTGATAGCTCAGTTTGTTTCCGTTGCAGGTCTATTAGTTCATAATAGGTGTTGCCCTGAGTACATTGAGAATAAGGTGGTACAAATTCTATTCCAGCGGGACTGGAGTACTGTAAGGGTCGAATTTGGTTGTTGCACACATGACCGGCTGTAGCTGGGGAAGTAACTTGTAAGGGTGTTGAATGTATTGTGAATAAAGTTGTAGGAACATCGTGGGATGTTCTTTCGGAGGATTGGGTACTGGGGGTGGCTAAATTTGATACAAATGTCAGGGTAGAGGGGGTTCCATCAATCATTTCATGATTAGCTCTAGGATTAACACTCATAGGTCATGTTAACCCTTGTGGTATATAATCTCCACTGATTGCGGTCCCGGCTTCAGCGGAACTAATTGTAATTGTGTGTACCGTGTTGACATTGGTGGAAGTTTCACTGACTGTTCTTTGAATTGGTGGGAAACTAGTGTAGGTAGGGACTGGGTGATCAAAGGTAACATTGCTATTGTTAGTTCCTAATTCTGAAATAGGTATGGGTAGTATATCATCATTACTTGCTTGCTCATAAATTTGTTCTGCCTTCCTTGCTTGCGCTAAGACCTTTTTTAGTTCCAGCTCTTCTGAAGCTATTTTAAGAGCTTGAGTTTCCTTTAAGTACATAGACTCAACCTCTAGTTCAGCAACCTTAGCCGTACTTCAATTAACCGTGATTTTGTACGACACTGTTGAAGAACTAGAGTTCTTAGAGCATTTAGAACCCTTTGATGAGCGAGATGATCCTTTAGTAGTGGTAGAATTAAGTTCATGCTTCAGACACTTAGCTTGTGACATATATTCGCACAAGAACCTTTTAAACCTAAATATATCACCATCACGAATCTCAAACCACTCAACAGCAACCCTGGTTTCATCGGTGTCGCCCAAGTGATTTAAATATGCATCATGAGCATCATGCAATTTAGAAACTAACCCGTTCAAGTATTCTATTTCATTCGACACAAATTCAAAATTATTAAAATCCTGAAGTAATGGTTTGAGCTTGTTTATCTCTCTTGTTACTTGTCGTAATGCTGATATTCGAGCTTCCTTAAGCTTATCTAATTCACATTGTTTACCTTTATCAGTCATGGTTCTTTTTCTCGTACCAATTTCCTTTTCTTCAGTGCCTTCGACCGTATTTTGTCCATCCAAACTCAGTTCATGTTGCGCCGTATCCGTATTTTGACTGCCCGTTGTATCCTTTGAGTAACTTTCCTTCGTATGAGAGCAAATCAGTGAAATTTCTGCGCCATATTCACCATCATTTTTACCGTCCATAAACATTTCATTTTCGCCGTCCATATCCGTAAGTTTACTTGTGTGATCCTTGTAAATGCTTGAATTAACGTCCAGTTACAAATTCACGAACCAATCCTTGTCTATTTTGATCATATTTGCCATTAACAAACCATAAATAAACGAACAAAGGTTACGAGTTTTTACTGTAGCTGGCAAGGCGCCTTTTGCGTTTTTCCGTGTCAAAAATATCTACGAGGCTGAGCCAACACTCATTTGATTTAGTAACAACTTTTTATTGTCAATATAAACGAAATATAAACTTAAAATATCACAAAATATAGTCTCAAAAGGTAAAAACTCGGTGGCCTCGCGGCCGCCATGCCAGAACGATGCCTGCGCATGCGCCACTCAACACAGAAAGTCCTAGAGCAGTAACAAGATGCAATAGATGAACAATGAGAGCGTGTGTTTTACCGAGGTATGCAAGCACGAGAAATTGAGAAAACAATGCATAAAATGTTTTTATAATTGTTTACTCGTGTTTAGAACGCGTTTGAAACAATTTTGAGAAATTCCAAAATGCCTATTTTAAGAATTATTTGCTATATTGTGAGGAATTTACTTAATTTTTCGGCAAAATATCAAAATAATTTGATATTAATTATGCGGATTCGAAGGAATTTGAAGTAAATTTTTGTTATTTTCCGTTCAATTTTTCCCACAATGTATCGGAAACGCTTATTCCTACCAAGATTTTTGACCCATTTTTATGCTACTTTTTTATACTTTGTGTAAACTAATATTGGTTTCCCCCCAAAAGTAATAAAACTCTTATTTTTTTTTTCGAGTGCAATTGTGCGAAGTACTGAAAAATATATCTTTTAATTCCTTAAATGTGTGGACTACTGAAAAAAGATTTCATTTTGTATCCAAATAACTGCACTTTTAATATAATATTTACTGTCCGCAAAATACTTGAACATTTGTAAAAAATAGGTACGCAGTGCGTACATGTTGCATGCCATCAAAAGCTAGCGTGAAAACAGACCTACGTTCCGCCCGCCCTAAAATTCGCAGGTTGACGGAGCCGTTAGACTTGCTCCAAGTCTCTCTTTCATTGTCATATGGTATCAATCCACTATAGTGTACATTACATGACGTACTACGGAGGGGCGGAGCGAGAAGGAGAGACTTGTCAACTTCGGAAAATCTCGGTTGAAAACTGAACAGAAAAAGCAAGACTTGCTTTAATTGTTTTCCTTCAATTTCTTTCTGTATTATTTACTATAATGGAACTCATGTTATTTACACTGTGCTCGATCAATACATATAAACACTGACAGAAAACAATTAAAGCAAGTCTTGCATTTTCGGTTCAGTTTTGAACCGAGATTTTCCGAAGTTGACAAGTCTCTCTTTCTCGCTCCGTCTCTCAGTGCTACATCATGTAATGTACACCATAGTGGATCGATATGACAATGAAAGAGAGACTTGGAGCAAGTCTACGGATCCGTCGACCCGCAAATTTTAGGGTGGGCGAAACGTAGGTCTGTTTTCAGGCTAATCAAAACCATGAAACGTTATGACACAGAATACTATACAGAAGTCGATTTCCATTGTTGTTTTTTTTTGCGTAAGCGCTATTCGTCATGATTGATGATTCGTCACTCAGCAAGTACCGTAAACAGAAGCAGTCGCCTCCCCCCCCCAGAGGTCGCCCCCCTGGTTATGATGCGCTAGCGCTTATAACGTTTGGTACAACTGGCCTGAAACTTAATATATTGATTCAATAAGTTTAATATCAATATATTTATTGAAAATTGGCTATTATGTCAAAATAAGAAAACTTTAGATTATCACGCGAAAAGGCAATGTTTTTATGAGCTACTGTTCATCGTTAGTTGCAGGCGACGGTAATATAAACAAGGTCAAGGTTTTATCGAAAGCGATTGACTGTTAGATTTCCTTTACTATTTTATAACTAAATAATGTTATTTCCTACAAATTTAGCTTTATTGTAGCCTTATTGAAAGTATAACGGTGAATTACTACAGATTGAAAATAATTGTTAAACTACGATTGAAATTATCGACGTAGAATGCTATTTCGTTGTAATTTCAATAGTATTATTAATGAGAATTTTGTTTGTTATTTTTAATATATTTCATGTTATTTACAAAATTTACTGTAGTTTTGAAGTTTTGCACACAATATAATCAATGCGAGCACAATAACTCCACTTCAGTTTGAGTATTATATTTAAATTTAGTATTTTGATAGCGTGCACAGCCTTTCACGCCATATAATATTACGCCTGATAAATAATCAGTGCGAGCACTGCGGCTCCAAAATCACAACAAAATAACAGAATATAAAGTAAATTAAAACAGCAAAGCTTTACCTACCTCGATGTATTTTTCTAAGGCGCTCGATTATGTAAATTTTCTGCGAATCTTTGCATTTGCTCGACGAAAACCATGGAAGAAAACGTGCACACGATTCAAAATTTATAATTAGCTTATTGTTATTATGCTCGTCCCACGTGATCTGCCGCAAGTTTCACCACCAACGGACACGAATTTTAAGCTATATGATAGTTGCATGCTATATATGGGCATGCAACAAAAACCGGATACAAATAGGTGTTTTGCGAAATTGAGAGCAATTTCAAATCTGTTCAGTTTTTTTGATACACCCTGTACAGGATTTGTTAACAGAGATCTCAACAGCACCCCCAATATTTTGTCTGCAGTAATTACAGTATCCAATCATTTGATCCATTAAATTATAATTAGATTGCTTTTTAAAATAATTATTATAAAGTGGCTATATCTTCAGGCCCGCAAACAAACTTCGCCAGGCTATATTTATGGCACTCTCATTCTAAGTCTCCACACAGGTTGTATTTATAGTTAAAGTCAATTTCAGACAAAACTGTCCCTAACCTCTAGCCCTAAAAATAAAACTAATCAGAAAAAAAGGCATTTTTAGTTAAAGTGAACAAAAACCTGTCACAGCTCAGGTTCAAACTACAGACTACAGCACAGCAGCCATCTGATCGTGATCATCCGTGTGATCTATTTTTGAGCTTGCTGAAATCCTTCATAAACAATCAATTTTATAGTCTGTGCTGTTTAGTACATAAGAGTGCTGTAAGCCTGTAAATATAGCACGGCAAAGTATGATTTAGGACCTGTAGATACACTGTAGCCAGTAATGATTTTTCTGTGTTGGTGTAATGTACTCAGGAATATGATGCTTGTTGCTTGTGATGTTACACTGAGTGTATATCCACACCGGGCAAACTTATTAATTAAAAAATATGCCTGACCAAGGTGCGAATCGAACCTACAACTTTTGAAATACTAGCCCAATGCTCTGCCAACTGAGCTACGCGGTCAGATCGATTCGAATATGCGACATTTCGGAACAGAATCTAGTTCCTCCGATATCAATGTAATGTAATAATCAGTCATGATTTTTCTAGTTCCTTCGATTACATTGCATGATATCGAAGGAACTAGATTCTGTTCCGAAATATCACATATTCGAACCGATCTAACCGCGTAGCTCAGTTGGCAGAGCATTGGGCTGGTATTCCAAAGGTTGTATGTTCGATTCCCACCGTGGTCAAGCATATTTTTCAAGCTTGCCCGGTGTGGATATACACTCAGAGTAACATCACAAGCAACATACTGTAGCCACTTTGTAATTATTATGATACCGCCGACATGATCCAGCATGCAATATGAACTCTATCAACTGTTTATTATTAATTAAAGTGAATTACTCTACTTCTATCTGACCTAGACAGGATCCCACCTGCGAGGACAAGAAACTCTCATATAAGTACTCTATCATCCCTGCCAGGTGGGGTGTATTCCGTCTATATTAAACACACCATCCTGGAGTAAAACCTACTGTCCAGTCATGCCATTATCATATAAATAGGCACATATATACAGGGTAAACTCTAGAAGGGTTTAGCTGGAAAATTCTTTGAGCTCAAACTAGCAAAAGTTTATACTTTTTTACCATATCGTGCGAAACACTAACCATTTAGTCGTAATGCACCCTGATGCATTCAATAATCATGTTTACACTACAAGTCTTGGCCAACATTTTGACAGTGTAAACAGATTTTGGCCAAGCCTTGTCCTGACCTAGGCCAGGAAATCTGGGCTCACTACAACAGACCTGGCCTAAGCCTAGTGGAAATGTAAACACTTTCGGCCCTGGCTGGGGCCTTATGTTCATTGCAACGTGTGTCCACAGCAAGAGATTAGGGGACAACCACCGGACAACATCACAACACATAAAAATACACAAATTTAATAACAAAATTCTCAAAAGTGAGCCTGTCTCAACAAAATAGTGTAATGTGCCACATTTACCTTGGCCTGGCCAAGGCTAGGTCAGGTCAAGGCTTGTAGTGTAAACACCACTAATTTTACTCTGTCTAACCCGGCCAGTAACCCTAGGCAGAGTTAATGCCTAGGTGATTTTACTTGTCAAGGGGAGAGATTTATATTCACATTTCACATAATAATGATGATGGCTATAGCGGGTTCACTATTTGAGAGAAAACATACATTACTGAACTTTTAAAAGAAAGTCGTATTAGAATGCTCAAGAATGTAAATTATAGTCACCCTTGTCTTAGAGTAAACATGCTATTGTTGATATATAACCGTTGCCTTGTATTTGCCAAACTCTCTTATACAGCAAAAAGATCGTTTCCGTCTAGAATACTGGTAAGAGCTAATTTTGACTGCAAATCCTTTCACTTTAAACAAAGATTTAGTTTTCTATACCACTCATCTAACACATTTTTTATCGCAGCTTTAGAACGATATTTTTCGATTACCGCACTTTGTGTTGACACCTTGAATCTATTGTTGCATAAATTTCATTAGCTTTTATAGCATGATAATGTAGTTAATTCAATTCTAACCAATGAAAACCCTGCGTCATTCTAAGCAACGCACAGACGTGTTTTTATTAGCCAGATCTGCAGGCTCTCTCTCAAATTTCACAGAGAGTTGAAAGAGAGCCTGTTCGCGTTCTAGGTTTCGAAAACTGTTATCAAAGTGAGGGATATATGGGCTCCAGCCATATTTTAATATGGTACAGATTATTGGAAATGAAATGGTTCAAAAAGAGTACGTTTGTAACACGAACAGTGACAAATCATTCAGCATTAACATTAGATGAGCGTATTCGACCCATTTCCACTCTAGAAAAATTTCCGCGAAGGGAAATTGCCGACAATAGTATTTTTAAAGTTCAAATTTTTCAACTTCAATTTTTTTCCCTACGGAAAATTTGTGTAGTCCAATCAAATTTTCGGAGTGGAATGCGCCTTAGGATAGAAATCGCACGGGTGTTCGGCGAAATATTTATAACATCACGATTTACATAAGATCGATATACGCTTAATGGGCACATTTTATAACCAATCACAAATCGAGTAAACTGACTAAAATGATATTAATGCAATAACTCTGTAACGTTTATTAATCACTTAGAGAAATACTTTATTTAAGCATTTCGAACAAAAACATTGTAGCAAATTGCCATTACATTTACATCCAGGTTGAAATTGTAAAGAAAAGATTCTATATGAATTTAGAATGAATGTCACAAAAGCCTCATTTCTTTTGAACTAGCTTGGCAGGGAGTACAAAAGCTGGCATAGCTGGTTCCTGGTAGCCACTCTGAACTTTAAACAATCCTGCAAGACCAGGGCCATCAACTTGCCAAGCAGATCCATCTAGTTTTGCGCCGGAACCACGATCATCCCATAGGTTGGTGAACTTTCCTGGTACCAACAAATCTTTTCTAATGCAGGCAAATTTGGCGGTGAATTTACTAGACGGCTCCGAGTAGTTGTTGGTAACAACATCCCCCAGTGCTACGTAGCCCTCGGGAGCAACGACTCTCCAAAATGAACAATCTATCTTTCCTCCAGAATCCTTATCATTCCATTTGGATTCGTAATATAGTGGTGGCTTTATAAGGTTGGCAAGCAACGGCTTTACCAAAATTACGGAAGATTTGGGTACATCTACTGACTCGGTTTGTCCAACTGCGACCTGCCCAATAAAATAGTAGCCATCAGGAATTTCGTCCAATGTAGCCTGGAAAACACATATTCCCTTTTTTGCGCCAGTACCGTGATCAGCGTACACCTTTTCTCTCTTTGGCGCAGTTCTGATATCAAGAAGAATTTCCGGTATATCCTTTAACAAAACAAAACAAAAATGAAAAGATAACATCGTAAATATTAATTTTTTTCTGTGTTGGTGTAGTGTACTCAGGTGAATATGATATTTGTGGTGTTACTCTGAGTGTATATCCATACCGGGCGAGCTTGAAAAATATGCCCGGCCACGGTGGGATTCGAACCTACGACCTTTGGAATACTAGCCCAATGCTCTTCCAACTGAGCTACGCGGTCAGGACGGTTCGAGTAAGTGATATTTCGGAACAGAATCTAGGTCCTTCGATACCAATGTATTCTAGTAATATAAATTTTACTCGAACCGTCCTGACCGCGTAGCTCAGTTGGAAGAGCATTGGGCTAGTATTCCAAAGGTCGTAGATTCGAATCCCACCGTGGCCGGGCATATTTTTCAAGCTCGCCCGGTGTGGATATACACTCAGAGTAACACCACAAATATCATATTCACCTGAGTACACTAAACCAACACAGAAAAAAATTTATATTACTAGAATACATTGGTATCGAAGGAACTAGATTCTGTTCCGAAATATCACTTACTCGAACCGTCCTGACCGCGTACCTCAGTTGGAAGAGCATTGGGCTAGTATTCCGAAGGTCGTAGGTTCGAATCCCACCGTGGCCGGGCATATTTTTCAAGCTCGCCCGGTGTGGATATACACTCAGAGTAACACCACAAATATCATATATTCACCTGAGTACACTACAACAACACAGAAAAAAATTTATATTACTAGAATACATTGGTATCGAAGGAACTAGATTCTGTTCCGAAATATCACTTACTCGAACCGTCCTGACCGCGTAGCTCAGTTGGAAGAGCATTGGGCTAGTATTCCAAAGGTCGTAGGTTCGAATCCCACCGTGGCCGGGCATATTTTTCAAGCTCGCCCGGTGTGGATATGCACTCAGAGTAACATCGCAAACATATTATTCGCCTGAGTACACAACACCAACACAGAGAAAAAAAAATTCATATTACTAGAACATATTGGTATTGAAGGAACTAGATACTGTTCCGAAATATCACTTACTCGAACCGTCCTCACCGCGTAGCTCAGTTGGAAGAGCATTGGGCTAGCATTCCAAAGGTCGTAGGTTCGAATCCCACCGTGGCCGGGCATATTTTTCAAGCTCGCCCGGTGTGGATATACACTCAGAGTAACACCACAAATATCATATACACCTGAGTACACTACACCAACACAGAAAAAAATTTATATTACTAGAATACATTGGTATCGTAGGAACTAGATTCTGTTCCGAAATATCACTTACTCGAACCGTCCTGACCGCGTAGCTCAGTTGGAAGAGCATTGGGCTAGTATTCCAAAGGTCGTAGGTTCGAATCCCACCGTGGCCGGGCATATTTTCAAGCTCGCCCGGTGTGGATATGCACTCAGAGTAACACCACAAATATCATATTCACCTGAGTACACTACACCAACACAGAAAAAAAATCATATTACTAGAATACATTGGTATTGAAGGAACTAGATTCTGTTCCGAAATATCACTTACTCGAACCGTCCTGACCGCTTAGCTCAGTTGGAAGAGCATTGGGCTAGTACTCCAAAGGTCGTAGGTTCGAATCCCACCGTGGCCGGGCATATTTTTCAAGCTCGCCCGGTGTGGATATACACTCAGAGTAACACCACAAATATCATATTCACCTGAGTACACTACACCAACACAGAAAAAATTTATATTACTAGAATACATTGGTATCGAAGGAACTAGATTCTGTTCCGAAATATCACTTACTCGAACCGTCCTGACCGCGTAGCTCAGTTGGAAGAGCATTGGGCCAGTATTCCTAAGGTCGTAGGTTCGAATCCCACCGTGGCCGGGCATATTTTTCAAGCTCGCCCGGTGTGGATATGCACTCAGAGTAACATCGCAAACATATTATTCACCTGAGTACACAACACCAACACAGAAATAAGAATCAAACCAGTTACGACCCATTTCGTTGACTAATGTAATTGTTCGCCTTTTTGAAAGAGCAATCTATACAACTGAATTAGTCCAGGTGATGGAAAATGCCACCCATAAAGATCAGTTTGCATATAAAAGAGGTTATAGCTCTACAATGGCCCTAATAAAAGTGCAACATACCTGGATGGAATGGTTGGATGGTAATGCTAGTATGGTACGCGTCTTCTCTTTTGATTTCAGCAAAGCTTTTGACACGGTACCGCACAAGATTTTATGCAATAAGCTGAAGAAGCTTCCTATTAGTCCCTATATTACCAATTGGATCATCAATTTCCTAACAAATAGGTATCAATGAGTCGTTGTTGATGGCGTTGAAACAGAATATTTGCCTATAAATCGTGGAGTTCCTCAAGGAACAGCATTAGGTCCAATACTGTTTTCTATAATGATTAATGATATCCGTCCTGTTCAAGCCTCAAACTTAATTGTTAGATTTGCAGATGACATAAATCTAGGGATTAAGGTCACAGATGAAAGTGACGCCTCTTATATGGAAACAAACAATATTATCAACTGGGCGGAAACAAATCGTATGAAACTTAACTATAAAAAGGCGTGGGAGATGGTCATTCGCGGCAAGATAACCCGGCCACTTCCTGCGCCTCTGCCTATGATTGTTCGTAAAAGTTGGTTGAAGATACTTGGTGTAACATTTCAAGATAATCCTTCCATGTGGGACTTGCATCTAGATGAATAGCTGTTATTGTAATTGAATACGTCTATGCTACGGACCAGCGGTATCTGCATTATTTTGACATGGAGACGAGGCTATAGGGTCATGTTTTGTGTTTACCCTTTAGCCTCATTTTCGTGCGTACTTCCACTGAGATACCGCTGGTTCGCCGCAGCGGCGTATTCAATTACGATAACAGCTATTAATGAGTAAAGCCTGTAGCAGAATGTACATTATTCGGATTTGCAAATACTACGGGTTTTCTAGGAAAGAGCTGGATCTTCTGTTCCATAGTCTTATCTTATCAATATTAGTTTTTGGTATAGAGGTCTGGGGATGTGCGTCGTATTCTAAGTATCTTAGTCAAGTAGATAAACTTTTAAAACGTGCATATAAGTATGGATATCTTATGTA